GATTAAGATCTTAACCTATGTGTTGAGGGGGAGGCACATATATTTAGCCCATAGATAAGGGTTCCAGTTTTTGCTTTATGTATCTTAAAGCTCTGATATTAAATGCATAAATGTTTAAGAGGATTAGGTCCTCTTTATTATCAATAGGAAAGGAGCTTCATCACTAGCAATATTCTTTTTTTGACATCTGGTTTGTCTGATATTATTATCCAGTTTTCTGGATAACTATGAATTTTTGAAAAAGGATCTCACTCTGAAGCTCACTATGGATTGGCCCTGAACTCTCAATCATGTTTCTATTTCCCAGGTGCCTGGATTATATATGTGCGTTACACCACCTGGCTGAATTTCTTGCTTTCTGTTTGAGCTTGTCAAGCCTCACCCAACACTGAGACTCACAAGGTCAAGGTCAAGGTCAAGGTCAAGGGGGCCTTGTGGAGAATTCTCTGTGAAGCTACATCTTCTCTGTTAATGCTCTCCACAAATTCTAGCCTGCTGAGCCTTTCTAAACCCTGATGACTGTCTGAACTCAGTGATGCAGATAAGCAGTGCCCTGAATGAGTAAGGGGGGCCAATGACAGTGTTTTTCCTTCACTCAGGGACTCAGAGGCCTTTGCTTCCTCTATTAATTATTGCCCGAAACATTTGTTTTTATGAATGTTGTTTGCTTTTCTAACTGTTTGTGGCAGAGGGCAGGTCCCATAGTAGTTAATCCATCATGGGTGCATGGGAAAGTTTCTAACCTAGTTGTTTTCATTATTGGTTTATACTTCATTTAATAATAGGGACTCTGCACGCTGGTAAACTTAAAAAAAATTGTTGATATTAAGTTCACTGGGTTTAGTTCCTGAGTTTCACCAGGAAGCCAGATTCTCTCTGTTCATATTGTCATGAAGGGTTGAACTAGAAAGAGATCTTCTAGATTAACTATTACTTAAATAAACTTTCTTGTGTGTGCGTGGGGCTGGGGTGGGGGGGGGGAGAGGGCGCGGTTAACTGGGCCTAGGGCTGTGCTTGATAGATAAACTCTAGGCCACTTAGGCCACACCTCCAGCTTAAATTAACTTAAACTCACATTTAAAAATTTTTGAGATTTTTGAGATGTGTCAGGATCGTTCAAGGGAAAAAAAGAATCTCTTCAGCAAATAAATGGTTTTAAGACCAGGAAACAAAAGCAAAAATATACAAATGGGATTATATCAAACTAAAAACCTGCATAGCAAAGGAGTCAGTCATCAGAGTAACAACTTACAGAATTAAAAACATGTATTTGCACACCATTCCCTCAAAGAAGGTATTAGTATCCAAATTATATAAGGATCTCAACAACAAAAAGCCCCAAAAATTCCACAAATAATCCAATTTAAAAAATGGTAAATGAAAGCCAGGAGCCCTTGGCTTATACCTGTAATTCTAACTACTCAAGAGGCTGAGATCTGTGGACTACAGTTCAAAGCCAACCTAGGCAGAGAAGTCTTTAAGACTCTTATCTCCAATTAACCACAAAAAGCCAGAAGTGGAGCTGTGCTTCAAATGGTAGAGTGCTAGTCTTGAGCACAAAAGATCAGAGACAGTGCCCAGTAGCAAGGCCGGGGGGTGGAGGGGTAGCAAACAAAAACAAGAACAAAAACAGTAAGTTGGGTAATAGTGGCTTATTTCTACAATTCTAGCTATTCTAGGCTGAGATCATGGTTTGAAATCAGCCTGGGCAGAAGAGTTTGCTAAACTCTCCCTCTCTAAAATAACCAGGAAAAAAAGCAGGATGGAGAGGCATGGTTCAAGTGGTAGGAGTGCTAGCCCAGCAAACAAACTGAGTAAATGAGAGGCCCTGAGTTCAAACTTCAGAATGGGCAAAAAAGAAAAGAAATCCTTGGCAAATGATGTGGCCAGACATTTTCCAATAGAATGGTATGGACACAACTGGATATCCACCTGCAAAGAATGAGGACAGACTCTTACCTCATCATACACAAAAATTAACTCAGCATATAAAGGCTAAAACTCTGAAATCTTAGAAAAGAACAGAAGTTAACCTTCATGAACTTGGACTTGGCAACATTCACTTAGATATGATCCCACCACAAACAGAAAAAAAAAGTAATTCATTAAAACAAACCAACCTATTCAGAAGGCTGAGATCTGAGAATCAAGATTTGAAGCAGTAGTCAAATCTGAGAGACTTTGGAAAGACTTGGAAAAAATTATATTAAGTGAAGTAAGCCAGGCCCAAAGAAACATAGGTCCCATGGTTTCCCTTATTTGCAATAACTAGTATATGTTTGAGTCAAGCAGAAAAGGTCAGATAAGTTGATGTTAGGGGAATGAACCCCAAGATAAGTATTCAAATTTTTTTTCTTTCATGCAATTGTTTCTAACATATTTATGATTTCTTTGTTGTTTTGTATGTCCCTCCCCCACGGTATAACCCCTGCTTTCACTGTATTTGATGTTGGTATAATTTGTGGAAGAAAAAACAAATCATTTAACTAGGGATACAGGTGGACCCATTGCAACAATGAGATGTACAAGTCGTTATGTCGGAAAACGAACTTTACAACTTTGGTGGGGAATGGGGGGGAGGATCAGGTGGGGGGAGGGGTGGAGTATGGGAAGGGATGGGAAGGGGAAACAAGGAGAAGACAACAAAGCTTGATAAGGAATGTACTCGTTATCTTGCCCATGTAATTGTAACTCCTCTGTACGGTATTCTCACAAAAAAAAAAAAAAATAAGATTTGAAGTAGTAGTCAAATCTGAGAGACCAATAAACAACCAGAAGTGGAACTCTGGCTTCAGCCTTACGCAAGAGCATGAGGCCCCATGGAAGAGACAATGTATGGGGTAGGAGAAAATATGTGAAAATCTCATACTTGGGAAGGGTCTAGTTACCGGAATACATAAAGAACTTTCACAACTACACAACAAAAAAGGAATTCACAAGTGGACACAGGACTCAAAATAGCTTTATTGCCAAAGATGGTATTTAAATAGCCAACAAGCACGTGAAAAGATGCTCAGTGTCAGCAGTCATTAGGAAAGCCTTCATGTGGAGAAAATGGAACCCTCTTACATTGCTAGTAGTCATGTAAAATGGTATAGCTACTATGGAAATCTATCTGTTGATTACTTGTGAAAGTTAATCTTGACAGCTTGATTGAGAGATACTCAGATTACTTCAGGCTCACAGGAGGCACATTCTCAGGCTGTGCATGAAACTCACATGGAGCAAAGAAGCCAGCCACATCTGCTGCTGCAACATTGCCAGTGGACATAAACTCCACTCTCTTCAGCCTTTCACCATGGACTAACACCAGTCACTCTAGGGGGCTTCCAGTCCTCAGTCTTGGTACTGCATCCCAGCTGCAGAGGACCAAGGTCAATGCAATGAGATGATGGGAAGACTGGACTTGCTACAGCTGCCTCCTTTTCATAAAAAGTAGAGGAACTAATTCATACTGCTAATTTTAATATGTATCTAACCAGTGGTAGGAATGAATTTTTAATGCAAAGTAACTATTTCAGTCTAAAAAAAAAAACTGAACAAACTGGGCTTTCAAGTCTACATGGAGCTGTATGAACCCTGACCTACTGTGCAGGAAAATAATGGATTCTTAATTGAATTTGTGCCTCAGAGTGGAGGAAATGATTTTTAAATGGAAATCCCCACTGAGGTGGTGGTGAGAAATGAGCTTAGCAGAAGAAATTATTCTAGAAGAAAGTGAGGGCAAAAACTAGGCTAGATCCAAAATAAGCCAAAAAGATTGTATCTGGTGCAGTGCTCACCTGACATCTGGTCTCGGCCCTGCCCCCTGGTCCTGGCTCCCTGGTCTCCAGGGTATCTTGAGAATGTGTCCAGCAAGAATAGAAATCTTATTCACTTGTCTAATATCCTAAGTTCTCTAGGACTTCACATGCAACACAACAACCCTTAGCTGTAGTGCTTGGCTAAGAGCCTGGAAATAATTTAAACCAACACCACTGTCTCATAGATAACTAAGGCCCAGAGAGGGAAGTACCTCACCCAGAAAGGTTGCAGTGAGAGTTAATGGCTGTAATCACACAAGTTAAGCATTCTAACAGATTCATGAACTCATGGGTAACTCCATCTTCAGCTGGGAGGTCCCCAGAGCCATTCCATAGCCTGAAGTGCTAATTAAACGAGAGGAATTATGAATGTACTATTTATAGTTAGGAGTAAAGCTGGGACACAGAGATCTGGTCTCCTAAGATTCACATGTTGAAACCTAGGACACAGATATCACATATCTGTGTCATACTTTACTTCCAACCTTTGTTTAGAGCAGTGCCTGAAGATGGCCCAGTTTCAGATTCCTAACACTGGACCTCAGCACACTCCTACAAAACTCTATGCATTGTGAGAAAAATGGGGTAACCCCACTGCTGGCAATGTTGCACACACCCACTGGAAAGATTAGAATGATCCTTCCAAATCTGTCAGTTGCTTCAAAAAAGCACCTACTTGACACTACTTTTCCATTATTTTGAGACTTAGCCAATAATCGCCACTCAATTCGCTTTCATGTCAAAGGGAAAGGGAGAAAGGAAACTCACAAACATGTTTTTAAGACATAGCATTTGGGTATTTAGGTTTGCAATTATCTCCTTTTAAAAAGAAAACATTTAGAGTGGTTGTTACCAAAAATCAAATAGTTCCCAGGAAGCCTAGTGGTAGAACACTAGCACTGGACATTTTCCTGTGTGCCACTGGGACGGAGCTACTGCGCCTGTCCCTACCAGCCCCTACTTCTTCTACACAACACGTCTGCCAAACCCCTGCACTGTGGACTGGCTGATTACAGCTAATTAGGCCCCTGGAAAGAATCAGAAAACCCTATGCGAAGTGCTGGTATTTGTATGCCTTAGGGGGCCAGATTCTATGCAGTGGGCACATCCTCCCATGTTGCCCACCAAACACCCACTGATTATGAAGACCGCACTGGCTTTCTCAGAACAGAGAGGGAAAAGAATCACCACACAATGTTGTTCAACAACACCATCTTTATTCAAAAATATATATCTATGAGACATTTCAGAATATACTGCTGCCCACCAATGGCAGCCTATACTTCTAAATAAAAGTCCTAAATTAATATACAAATTTAAGCTTTAAAAATATTCTTTAAGAAAAACAAAACAAAAACAAAAGGAAGATTGAAGACTTTCTGAGGAAAACGACCTAAAGGTAGAATCCTTTGAGGCCTATGGATGCCCTAAATAAAGAAGAAAAAACACAAAACCAAATCCAACCCACCCCACAAAGGCGCTAGATCACGTTTTACTGACAAGTATCATTTAAATTAAACAAAGAAGCTTGCTTTGGGAGGTGGAGGGGCAGAGAATTAGGATTTAAAGATAAAAAGCATTTAATTAAAACCAGCAAAACTAGCTTCCTCATAGGAAGCCTACTAGTAACAGGTGTTAAGAAGCCAACATTCATTTACATAATTGCTACAGGTTCATTTCTTGCTCTGGCTGTAATGATTATGCACCAACTGCTGGTCAAAAACTCAGGTGGATAAAACATAGTAGTGGGCTAAATTCATTATATTGTCATCTTTTCACCTAGCTGGTAAAAACAAATTTCTACTGCAGTCTTTTGGCTGGTTTGTGGCTGGTAAAATTCTACTTCTTTGGAAAAGTGGGAGTTGGGTCTGTTCAGAAACAAGCTCATCTAAATGAAACAAAGCACACATAGTATGAGGAAGGGACACACAGAGTCGAGAGGACAGGTCACCTTGCAGTTTCAGTGATGTCACCTACTGCCCTGGGGCTCTGGAAAAACAGTTTATAAACTCATTAATTTAACAGTGACAGAACAACAGGCAGTATCAATGAGCAAACAGCACAAAGACCGTATTCAAATCTGAACAACAGCTTCAGCACCACTAGGTCCTACAGAGAGCGAGAATGAGTGAGTACCTGCTGGTCTCTCCACTGCCCTCACTTCACAGTGGGCAGGAGAGTGTCATGAAGGGAGCCGAGAGCTGTTTTCACACGTCATAGCCCATGTAGTTTTTGGTAATTCTAAAAACAGCAACGCAAAGTAATGTAGATTCTCAAGCCCTAGCCACTGACTTTTTTTTTTTTTTTGTAGCTTTTGAATTTCAGCCTTGAGGCTCTAATTCCTATTACACTATTAGGCACTGTTTCCTATCTATTCCAATGTCAGAGATAGATAAGCCTGCCAAATAAGGGTGATTTACAGGTGGCAAGCCCAACCTTAACTATATGCAAGATAAAAAATTCCTCTTTCCATTATTTAGTCATAATGTCAGCTGGCATGATAATGGAATTAAAACCCGAATTAACACCCTCTACTTGCCCCTTCTCTCGCTGAGATGAGCTGTTCAGTAACATCTGATGCAAACGCATGGACACATGAGGCAGTACAAACTGACAGACACGCTCAGGTCCTATCTGTGAAGAGGTTCAAGTTTAGTCAACATACTGTGGGCGCACATCCACACAGTGGATCGAACGTGAGCATACCCTACTCCCAAAAGAAGGATCAAAGCAACATTAGGCAGAGCCAGGACTCAGCAAGCTTGTGGGTGGGAGCCTTCATTCTGCCCATCAGTGCCATTCTCAGAAACCACCTTCACAAGTACTAGGCGTCAAAAGGTCCTCGTAGCGAACAAACTCTATGATGGTGGGCAGGGCCCTTGAGAACTGCAGCCTTGAAAGGCTGGTTGTGATTTCTGTTACCCTGTCTCTGAACTATGACACTATGTCCTAGATCAGCTTTGAATCTTATTGCTAGATTCTCGTGTTTGCTCACAAATGCACTTAACTTTGACTAGTTTGCTAGTAGAAGTAATGATAAAGGAGGGTTACCACTTGGAAAACTCCTTAAGAAGGGTGACCAATGGCTGTGCCACCAACCTTTTGACACCTCTGGTAGCCATGAAAGCCAACATCAGCAGAGCAAGCCCCTCAATTGGAGCCTGTCTCAAACCGGCCTAACCTAGCTGGGAAAGGAGAAGCGACTTCCGTGACACACACTGTCTCAGCTTCCAGAAGTACACATGATTTTCAGAGCTTCTTGGGTATACAAGAGCTAAGAATGGAAAGCCAACAGGGGCATGAAAACATGAGGTGGGAGAAAGTTTTTACTCTTTGCAGATAAGAATCCAATCACACTGTCCTGAATTCTGCTCAAGAGGGGAGGCCGGTGAAGAGAAGGGAAAATCAGAGTCTGTGGTTCTTTCTTGAGGCAGAAGGGCAGGTGGAAGAAGAGAGAGAACCAGGGGCTAGATGGTTATCTCGACCATGACTTGCCCTCTTTTTCTGGCACAGATGGAAATCTGGGTCTTGACACCTGTCCTAGTCAGTTGAGAAGAGGTCACCAGCAGAGGGCAGGGGGGCCAAGCCCCCGGTTACGTTGGGCAGCAGTGAGAGGTCGGGCAAGCTCTGAATGTGGGACTTCAGCTCTTTGCGAACCTGGGTTACTCGTGCAAGCTTCTGTTTATACTCCTAGGGAGACAAAAAGACAAAGCAGTTAAGCACTGTGGGTGCCTCTCACCTTCCTGCTCTGCTTCCCCCACTCAACTACCCTCCCTGCTCACCTACATCACCTTGCTAGGGTTTTTCAGTTCTCAAACCGATCTTTATCCAAAAAGGCAGGCAGAATGCAATCCAGGCAACAGTGGATTAAGTGGTATTCATCTCAGCACTTGAGATTTGTTAACAAAAGGCTGTGGCACTGAGTATTTCTACTCTTTTAACTAGTCCTCAATGAAATAAAAGACAGAAATCTGAACCTTATAATTATTTTTAGGGCTCCATTTGGACATAGCTAGAAAAATCACTATGAAGCTGGGCTTTCTATGTTAAAGCTTGATGATCAATCTGTATTTATATAATTTTCGCACCAACACAGAAGTTCACTGTACCCATTGCTACCTGTGCCCAGGACTTCCTGGTTCCATGGCAGAGTAGCTGCAGGAGGTCCTGATGAGGCCTCCCAGGAGTCTCCTCTGAGTGACTGCTAGACTTTGCCTCCAAAGTCTGGCTTCATGAAGCCCTCCTTTTAAGTGAAGCAAAATCTCACCATCTCTATGACTGCTCAGAGCTCAAGGCAATAAAATCAGTGGTTGCCTAAACTTACTTCTCCCACCCATGGCCCTCTGTACAGCCACTGCCTGTAGTCTCTACTTCCTCAAGAATCCCCTCAAGTTTGGAGGTGTTTCCTTCTCCCAGACCTTGCAAAGCTATGCCTCCACCCCTCTGCCGACCCAGTGAGCTCCACTTGCCCAAGAAAATCCTTGCTTTTCACCAAGGAGACTATTCCCATCTCACCCTTTCCACAGCTGTCCCATGCGTGAGTGGCACCGAGCCTCTCAGGCTCCTCTATGATCTTTCCAAACATGCTCCATGTCCTACTGAGTGTGCTATGATGCCACATCCCATGTCCTTCTAAGTGCTATGATGCCACGTCCCAAATCCTAAGTGTGCTACAATGCCCTGATGATTGGAATGGGAACAATTCATTCCTTTCTCAGCTTCCAGCAAAGGTGCTTTTGGCAAGTCTGTATAGAGAACAACTGAGGATTAGCTTTCCCGTTCTCCTTTCTGCATGTTGTTTTTGCAATGATAAGGAGGTCCCTACGGTGTAAAGCCTTTCCTGCAGGAACATCCAAGAACCAGGCATTAGTGCTGGCTTCCCTTTACCATGCAGTATGACCAGGGCTGTGCTCCTTCCCTGAACACGAGGGATCTAGAGACCCCACCATAAGACTTTTCTTCAAGTTCAAAATACCTTAATGCCAAACACCTCGGCACACTGGGGAAAGGGGTCAAGGGCATTTGTAAATGACTAGTAACAACTCCAATACACCCCCAATGGGCTAGGGCCAGACCCACTTGCTTCAGCAGCCCTGTCCATGCTCCCACTACCCAGGCAACACACCAGAACACTTGCCAAATGAATTAACATATAAAAATACCAACGTCAGGTATAAGTATCCTATATAAAGAAACCACCCTGAAACTAGATGTAGAATAAGTCACCTTTCACTCTTAAAGCTACCTTTAAACATGAGGGTCTACAAGACCAAGGTCAACTGCCTCTGCATAAAAGCCTTCACTTCAGATTGCTCAAAATTGGATTGATCCTGCCTAGTTCTGTCACTGGCTCACAAGATGTCTACTGTAGGAACAGCCATATCAGCCTAGGAAGAAGGCATTTATGAAAGAGCACCAAGGCTGTAGAAAAAAACAAAAAAGATCCACCTTACATATCTATAGTCCCAGCGTTCAGGAAGCAGGAGGATTCCAAGTTTAAAGGCAACTTAGGCTCTATACAGAGACTCTGTCTCAAAAGCAAGCAAACAAAAAAGACCTATTAGCCAAAGGTTTAAATACAGCAGCAAGGATGACCATACACAGGTTAAGATCGCCTAACTGGGACAGCTGACTCACTAAGCTTAATGACTTGAGATGAACAAGTTTAAGTCCACAGCAAATTCTGAGTCAGCCTATTGCTACATTTTGTGTGTGTGTGTATGTGCGCGCGTGTGCGTGCACACATGTGCGCTTGTGCATGTGCACATGTGCGCTTTTGCATGCCAGTACTGAGGCTTAAACTCAGAACCTGGATGCTGTGCCTTAGATTTTTCACTCAAGGCTGGCGCTTTACCACTTAAGCCACACCTCTATTTTCAACTTTTTGGTGGTTAACCAGAGTAAGAGTCTCACAAACTTTCCTGACCTGGATGCTTCAAACTGAAATTCTAAGATCTCAGCCTCCTGAGCAGCTAGGATTACAGATATCCACATTGCTAAAGAATTTTATAAGACCTTAAACAGACCTGGGAGGAGGGTGATTACTCTGTGATCTTCACCTCAACCTTTTTTTTTTTTGGTACCAGTCTTGGGGCTTAAACTTGGAGCCTGGGCGCTGTCCCTGAGCTTTTTTACTCAAGGTTAGTGCTCTACTACTTTAGCTACAGCTCCACTTCTAGCTTTTCAGTAGTTACTTGAAAATAAGTCTCTGGAATTTTTCAAATTTGGCTGGCTTATCTGCAATCCTCAGATCTCAGCCTCTGAGTAGCTAAGATTATAGGTGTGAGCCACTGGTGCCTGGCCTCAACCTTTTTAAAACAGACTCAGGCTTTCCAAATTAAGTCAACTGTAATGTCAACACTGACTTCTCATTCTCCCCCTGCTTACCTTCCCTTAGTTGGCTCAGGATGTTCCTTCGCTAGCTGCCTTTCCAGGTTAATTTTCTTAGGCTCTGGACAGATAAAGGAGATAGAGCTCAGGAAAATCCAAGAAACTCTTGCCTCAGCATTACCAGCCTATCTTTTGGCAAACTGTAATCCACAAACTGTGACTACAGGGTTCCAAACTGTGCCCTTGGCAACTGTTCCTCCCAGAGGAAGTCCAGGCCTTCCATGGTGCCACTAAAACCAACTTCCTGTGGTGTGGCCCACTCAGCGCCTTCTGACTCAGTGAGGTGTCTGTATCCCACTATCTCTTCAGCACACCAGGAGCCACTCAGGTACAAATGAAAGAGGGTGGCCACAGGGTCCTCGTTTAGAACACTTTACAACTGTGTGTGACATGGGAATTGAGCCCTCAGTACCCTCATGTGGTCCTGTGTGGTCCTATGTGTCTATCGCCCACATGACAGAACAGCACAGTGCAGAGCTTCAGTTGGGTCTGTTTCATCTCTCCCCACCAGCCCATTCCTCACAACCACAATTCTTTCCTGCCTTTTGCCAAGGGAAGCCAAGGCAAACCCAACATCTCCAGGCCTCTCCTTCCTGCAGGTTGTATCCACCAGACAACTAGCTGCAGCCCCTACTGTAGGAAGCCCTCCTCACTCCAGAGGTGCCATGAGGAGCCTCAAAACAGGCCAAAGTCTCAGCAGACCTACTGTGCCACTCTCAGGATTCTTGGCAAGGGAGCAGCTGTTTGATAAACTCCCTGGTTATTTAGCTGCCAAGAAATGTCTGAAATGTAGGAGGTAGGACCCAACATGTAGTTCTGAGATAATGCCTAAGATTTATGGTCTGCACAAAAATTTGGAATCTCATCTTACATACCCTGCAAACTTGAAGGAGAAAATGTGTCTAACATCCTTCAGCTTCCATGGATCCACGCTGACACTAAGAACTCAGACCATACCACCACGGGTCACCAAGACAATGTGTTGAAAGGAGCAGAGCTTACACATTCTTTGCCTTTTATGGTCAGAGCAGTAAGCCAGACTTGACATGCTAGAGATGAGCCCTGGGATAAGAGAGTTAGAAATGATAGGGCTGGCAGAACAATGACCTTTCTACAGGAATTTCATTTCCAAAGCAAACTTCTGTAAGAAATGCTGATCAAAATGTAAACCTTGTCAAACCTAGTCTCTCTCTTACTAGAAGTATTTATATAAGAAACATGTTAGCATTAACACCATGGGTAGGACCTGACTTGCTGAGACCAACTCTCCAGCATCTTTTATCAGGCCCTGTTGTGCTATTGGGCATATGGTGTAGAAAAACCACCCACTGCTCAGCTACCTCCAATTAAGAGTCATAAAGGGTTATTATGCAAGAAGCAGTTTACGAAGGTTTATTTTAAAGGTGACCTGTCACTGAATGTAAGTTAATGAACTACCTTATTGCGCAGGATGTGAGATGGCTAGACAAGAGAAGCCTGTCCAAATAGGACTTAACTTACCCCCCAACTCAGTTCCTCATCCTGCCAACCCCCCTACTAAGGAACACGGGACCTCCACCAAGAAAAAAAAGCAGCCACTATTTAATCACAATTCCAGCTGTTTATTCATTCAATGTTTTTGGAAAATACAACATGTAGATACATGAGTGGAAAATCAGAAAGTTACTTTTAATTTTTTTCCAAAGATCCACATGGGAACAAAAATCCAACACTGACCTGCACCTCTCTCCCAGCCAGCTCCATGCTCCCTTATGACTTGGGTGGCAGCTGCAACATTTCAAAATGATACATTCTGGATGTCACAGCAGGCAGGAGCTGCTGAGTAAGATGCTGGGAAGATACAAGGAAAAGAAGAAATTGCGGCTCATCCTAATGCAGGGCCTCCCAGCTCTACAACCAAAACCAACGAAGATCATGAAAAGCACCTCCCCCAAAGAAAACCAGAAAGATGGCTACAAGTAGAGGGATCTTCTCAGAGCAATCTACTTTCAGCCAAAGTCAAAATTTCTTAATTTCAAACCATAACACAGAACACTCACAGGTGTTTCTTTCCCCTCAAAGGGCCCTTCACACAAAACATGCTAAGAGAACACCACTAACACCACAACGCCCTCAATTGACAGGTACTCCCAGAAGCAAGGAAGGATAAAAGTTGTATGTCCTTATAGAAGCTAATGAAAAGAACAAATAAATTACTTTTAGAGTTTGGCAATTTTGTGAACTTTACTGTAATCATAAAGCTAAATGTTTACATTAGCAGATGCCTGTCAAATGCCTTAGAGAGAGACATATTTAAATAT